AGCAGATATTTTATGAATGAGTAGTTGACATGCTACTCTGTGTTTCTAGTATACTGTTGCTACTTAGTGGTGGTCATTTGGTTTCATTTCTGAAAGGAGGCTGTTTTAATGTTATGGTAAACAATTTACTTAAATTGCTGTAATCAAACACGCTTGCTGAAGGTTTTAATTCAGAATTGTAATTATTGCTTAAAATAAGTGTCTGTATTTGGCTATAAACAACAGATACTTGTGAATGGGACTGATGGAAAGCATAAATAGGATACAACATTCACTTTTTACTTCGATTATGTTTTTTGGAGATGGCAATACGTAAATTCTGAGTCGCTCTTTTTGGTTAGACCTCTGTCTTTGAACTAATTTGCGCACTAGAATGTTGGATTTCAGCATTTTTGAAAGAAAGTTTGTGTCTTTTAAGAAGCTGGATATTAAAAAATAAATGAAATGACTTTTTAAGATCACAGTAAAAAAAAATAATTCAGTCCAATCCATGTAAATTTTATTACAAGACTTGGGCAACAACCATTTGAGTGCTGCTAAAATATTAATTGGATAGAAATGAAAGGGCTCTGCTAGCTCATAGGATATCATAATCATAGCTGCAGTAGTCGATGGTAAATGATGATAAATGGCATTAGGAACCTTTTAGCAAACTGTAATAGCTACGAGGAGGGAAGCAGTATGGATTTGCATTATATCTGATACCCTCTAGTACCAAGTGGATTGCCAATACTGCTTGTTTAGCATTTTCTAAGGGCAATAGGATATTGATTTCTGACTTACAAGGAACGGCTCTATTTTCACCATTGAAAAGTATTGCAGGTTGTTAAGAAGAAATTGACTTGAAGAGGCCTGACTGCTGCCCATCATGGAGCAAATAAAGCAAAACTGCCGAAGCATGGTGGAGCAGCGAGATGGGGCCCTCAGCAATTTGTTGCTATTAATTTACCATGCTGGACAGCAAATCAATCGGCATCTACTTCATCTGCTGGAGAAAATGCTGTCCAGGGCAGATAAAAGGCCCTGCGTGGTACAGGGAATAGACTGGATTGGCCAAACGGAGGCTGCAGTTAATGTGTAAATAAGTGAAATCAAGGCCGCTGTTGCCGAGAAAGCTGTTTTTAATTAGGTTGGGGCTTTATAGTGAGCTATTTAAGAAAGTAGTATGGAGAGTAAGGGGAGATTTATTGCTGAATGAGTTAATATATAGGCTGTGCGACATCCCAACCTTGAGTCTGCTTGCTTCTTAAGCCTTAGTAAATTATTTTGGTAAAGGGGTAAAGATGGGAATCAATTTGTTTAATTTAGGGCAGAGTTTTGACCGTTTTTCATCTTCATGGCCATAAAATGCATATATGAGAGAAGTGGTTTGTCTATGCGCTACCTGTGTAACAGAAAAATACTCGTGGTTTTTTTTTTTTCCAGTGGTCTCTGCTTGGCATGAATATGTGTGCACATATTTTAATTTTTTTTTTTTTTTTTAAACACATTCAGTAGTTGA